TCTGTTGAAGGATATGCTCACCCAAAATGAAGGATGTGCTTGATTAAAACTATTTCTAAATTTAAACACTGACGCAAACTTAGTTGTTGGCATTATCTTATGTATTTAAATTAAAACAACAAATATAGTATGTCCCATTCTCTATGCAGAGAGGCTGCTGGATAAATGGAGCTGATCTGGGAAAGGCTGGTGGGCATATGAATGCTGGGTGGCAACCGGCGAAGTCTGCCACCAGTTCCTAATCTCATTCTCTGTGTTTGAGGTCTGAAGTTTGACTCTCTATGGACAACTTTATTTCTGAATTACTGAAGGAAAGATATATTTCAACATAGTCAGTTCTCCCTTGCTAAAATTTTCAGTTTATTTTATTCTCGTTTCAGCCTCAGACTCATCTTTTCTATTATTAATAATGTTGTTTTTATTCCTAATGTATGAAAATTACTACCATTCCAGAGTAACACTTTCGATAGCTGAAAGTCTAAGTTTTGTTGTGTTTAGACAAATTGAATCAAACATACATACACAGGGGAACACCTATTCGATGTTGTGTATTTGCACCAAAAACATAAATGTTTATAGTTTAAATATGCCATGAAATAAAAGAAATCATCTTCATAATTCATCCAAAAAGAATGTCTTTCTACCTTTTGGAATACCAGTGCTGTATGATCTTTTGAATAATACCGAAGGGTAAAATTACATGAAATTTACCCTTGCAATCCTTGCTTCTCCATTTCTCAGTGGGCTGTTCAGGTAACAAAATCCTTCTTCACCTAATAAAAGATCTAATTTCATAAACTCTCCATGACACAGTATCTCAACCACACTCTGTGAAATCCCCTAATTACATATGCTTTCCAAAACAGGGAGAAATTTGATCTGATAGAATAACAATACTCTGCAGGAGAAAGCAGAGACAGTTGTGTGCTAAGACACAAATGTCTTCCAGATGCTTAGAAAGATTCAGAATGCCCCATTTAGTGTATTCTGTCTGGTAAGTCACCCTAATCCTTCATGAGCAGCTTTGTTTATCAAGTTGATAGATGAATGACTCTTTAATTATGCTGTTGGGGAAATACTTAGAGCAAAGAGTATGCAATTCTTAAAATATTAGAAAAATCAAATACCAACTCTGAGTGAAAAGTAGAAATAAATATCTTTGAAGAATACAATTAAGAAATCAGACCTTGATGAAATATGATTGAATAGTGTTAGATAATTGATGAGAAAAAAAAACACATGGTTCCCATCTCTTGGTATTTGGGGCCGAGTGTGTTGTTTCGAATATGAAGGACGGACCAGCGAGTGAACAGGGGGAAAGCGAGGGAGAAAGAGGCAAGTACCTACCTCTGGAGCATAGTATCTGGCATCGTGCTGGCGCTCTGGATTTACCTCATGTCATCCCTTGAAAACTGGTGAGGTGAGCCTTGTCATTACGTCCATTTTGCAGATGAAGAAATTGAACCCAGAGATTAAGAAATTTGACAGAGTGTAATCCTGTCAGAGACAAAGCCCAGAGTTTAAACCCAGATCGTCTAACACCAGAGTGTCTGCTTTCTGTCCCAATAGCAGGATTTTTGAGCTGCGGCTAGTGTTGAGAATATCATAGTCTCAGACCAGGGGTTGGAGTGTGCATTGTCCAAATATACTCAAATGCTGAGACGCCCAGTTCGGCCCATTTTTTCCCATCGTCCCCTCGAGAGCTGCCTAGTGAGTCATTGTCTGGGTGGGAAAAAGGATTTAGGGTTTAGGGACCTTGACTGGGTGAACGACAAATGTCTTGGCATCTTTCCTTGGTAATCTGTGCAGAAGAGATGCCGGGGGATTAACAAGAAATCTGAGACTTCTCTTTTAAAAGTAAGTTCATTTTCAAGTTGATTAAAAAAATTTACTGGAAATACATAAAAATGATCATTAACATTGTTCTATGTTATTACTTGTTTCACAAATTATTTTGTTGGCTATAGGATATTCCAGCATCTAAAAGTGCCATAATAATTTAACTAGTTCCAACTATCGGACCTTTAGGTTGACTTTTCATTATCATAATTAATGATAATAAGCAAACATTCTTATAGAAAAAATGTTGTACATATATCTGATAAATTCCTTAGCATAAATTCTTACAAGTACAATATCTGGGTCAAAGGGCATGGGTGACCTTAAGGTTTCTGATAGGTATTGCCAAACCAGTTTACACTCCTTCAGTGATTATTAAGGACCCTCATTTTTCTTCTCCTTGCCAATCTTGAGTTTTGTCACTTAAAAAAAAACTTTACCAATCTGAGTGACAATAAGTGGTAGAAAATGCCTGTCTCGTAGATTTTTCTGTTTTAATAAATACAGCATATGGAACATAATCAAGTCTTGACAGGCTCAGTTGTAAATCTGAATGTGAGATTTCTGCATACTGCTCCGTAGAGTCATGGTATGAAGGTTGGATATCAAGAAAACTTAGAGCATTAGAACAAACCCCAATTTTATGAGTTAGGAGGGAGGAGACTTGGATTCTCGTTCTGGCCAGCCATGTTTCCATAGCAAGTGCTATATTCTCAGTAATTCACTTTAAATACCTCAGAGAAGGCCAGCAGGATGCTTATCTATGTGGGCAAGTTAGCTTCATTCTGTGCCTGAGGTGCCTCCCTCCAGAGGTCATTAGGACAAGCACTTCAGATATTATCTTCTGCATCAGTACCAGAGGATTAATTAATTAGCATAAGGAATGTCAGAAGTGACTTTTCAGTGATGAAATGAATGATGTGCAGATTATAAGGCTGACATGTCAGAATGTACAAGTGTCTCTGCCTTTTTTTGAGCAACATAAGAAATAAGTTTAGTAATATAATGTTTCTGGAATGGCACCCCGTCTAAAATGTCATTTGTTCTGGAATTTTCCACTTAATCAAGGATCTAGTTGCTTGATCTGGCTAGAAGGGTAGCTGCTCATGTCATTATAATACAGGTGCACTTGCCCCAGAGAGAAACTTTCCTGGGGAGCTTCCTATAAAGTGCCAAAGAGGACAGCGAGGGGGACCTCCACTCAGCTTCCAGAAGCCTGTTTTGGATGCTTGTGATGCCTGCCCGGTGAAGAATGTCCTTCTTGTGGCGGAATTCAATCTGAGACTTGCTTTCATTGTAACATATGCCTGGTAGTAAGGTCGTGGGGAAGAAGACCTATCACTTCTAACTTAACCTCTCTGAAAGTTTTCGCTCATCTGTCTGAGCTGTGGACTTCCCACTTAGTTCTAAAAGCTCTAGAGTATGTGGTATAAAGAACATGGCATTAGATTCGGGTTGCCTGGCATCGTCATTCAATAGAAAGGCAATATTATTTATGATATTTATTATTGATTTTAATATTTAATGGGGAATGAAAAGGAAAATTGAAGTGCAGAGAGAGTAAATCAATCAGTCAGGCCTGCCTTCCTCCAAATTCATGTGTTTCCTACTGTAATACTTGACATCCCCTGTTATGGACTAAATTGTTTTAGTCCACATTTCTATGTTGAAGCCCTAACTACCCCCCATGTGACTGTATTTGGGGACAGGGCCTTTGAATAGGTAATTAAGGTTAAATGAAGTCATAAAGGTAGAGCCCTTATCCACATGACTGGTGTCCTTGTAAGAAGAGGAAGAGACACCAGGGTTGCACATGTGATTAGAGCAAAATCTAAACGAAAACCCTCCTTTAATTCAGTCAACAAGTATTTCTTGAGGACCTGCTTTCTGTTGGGCAGGGTACTGGGTGAGATAGTATAAAAAGTCTCCTTCCTGAGAGCTCGGTTATCTCTGGGACATCAGGGAAGGGGGGCGGCGGGGAGGAGGGAGGAGGAGGCCCTCAAGAAGCGATAGGGCAGAAGGAGAGGGAAGCTGGCTGAGGCGGCAAGGGAGATTGTGAGGAGGAAGGAGGAGGGTCCGGCACTTTGAAGCCTGGGCGTCCCCGGACCAGCACCGAGAAGGCCCTAGGGACAGGGGTCTGAGAACTGGTAGTGATCGGGGCAGTGGCCCAAGAAAGCGCATCCAGGACATGTGAGGACCCCAGGGACTGCTAGGGTGGGTGGGGATGAGGGAGAAGAAACTGTAAGGGGGAGGGCCCATAGCAAGTTTTCATCTGCGTTTAACAATTTTGCCTCGGGCAGGGCCTACCTGAATGTAATTTTAACCTTACCTGGCCTCCCTTATAAGGGAAGAACCCAGAACTGGGAAGCCGACCAGTTTCTCTGCACTTTTGTCCCTTTAATCACTTTCCCAGTAGCCCTAGTGTAGAAATAGTCTGGTTTGTTGTTCAAGTTGATGGGAGTTTTGTCATTTTAAGTAACTACCCAGTTCCATTACAGGTTGAAAAATGTGAGCTAAGTTGGAAAAGCTTTAAGGGGCTTCTCATCAGGCCTGGTAGTTGACACTGCTATGAAATCAACATAGAACTAAAGTGCAGCCTGTCATCATGGAAATGAGGTTTGCTTCAGACAAACCAAAATGCTTGTGGAAGTCAAGTGCTCTGACAGCAGACCCATTACCAGGAAGTGTCCTTTGTAATGACATTTTCATACATCAGACAATGCACAATGGTGCTTTCCCTGGCCTTGTCCATGTAACTGACGCTCTCTGGAAGAAAAACACCCACCGATCGCATCTGCCCTGTAGGCGGGAGGGAGGCAGGAAAGTGGAGAATTGGCTCCCCTAGTTAGAGTATCTATATCCTCAGAGATCTTCAAGAAACAGCCATTTGGCTCCGGGTGATTTTAACATGAATCGACTTGCTAGATTTTTAAGATTCCCTCCAGTACTTTCATCTTGTGACTCTAATTTCTAAGGAAAATGTTCACCGATGCACAGACCTTGCTTCTAATGTGATGTGATGCCAGATTGCAAAGTTATAGCTGATGCTGGGCCCAGAGCCTTCTGTGCCTTCCACAGGGATTTTTCGAAACTCCAGACCTAAAAGTAGCTGTTGGTATTGAAATCAGTTTTAATTCCTAGCACCTTCTATTCAATCACAGGTCATCTTCAGATGGTGGAAGATCTCTCTGAGAAGTGAGTATCGATCAGCAAAACCTGGAGAAGTAAAAGAATCTCATCCATACTTTCTAGAGAATTCGCATCTTCAAGGTAAGGGAAGGTGTTATGTACTTATTGCTGTCAAGTTCCCTTTAATTAGTAATAGATTTTGTCGGAGCCGTATCAAAGATATCATTTGACATATGGATATGACATTATGTAATTAGATATAGTAGATATAGAACATTGGGTTCTTAGATAGAAAATTGTTAAAATATTCTAACATTTCTTTGGGGAAAAATTACATAAAGTGTTTAAGATTTCAGGTTACACATAGATTCCATCAATAATCTTAAATCATATAAATATAATTTTTTGCTTTATTTAATGATTTAATATTAAATAAATATTAATTAAAATAATTAAAATCTTTATTTAATATGTGAATATTTAATTAAAATGGGTTTCCTTTAGTGAGAAATAAATTAAAAGGTATTCAAAAACATAATCAAATGATCAAATCCATCAACTCTGATATAGTTTAGCATTCATTTAAAATTGCTATCTTTTTTTAATATCAAGATTTGCTTGAGAAGTTGTCTTAAATCAAGTAAATACTTAGACTTAATATCAATTGCCCTCCAGTTTCCCCTATGCTTTTTCCCTTTTCAATGTGAAAATTTCAATCTTAAAAAGTAGACAAAAAGATTTTTTAAAAACTCTCACGTACCCATAACCAAGCTTGCACAATATTCAGAATGTATCCAAAAAGGTACGTAAACTTACTGTTCCCACTGGATTATTTTGAAGCAAATCTCAGTTGTTACATTATTTCATCCTCTACTACCTCAGTATGTTTTTGTAAAAGGACTCTTAAACTAATAATAATTATTAGTTTAATAATTATTCCTTAATAATTATTTTTAATAATTATTTCTGAATAATAAAATTTTAAAGCTGGAAGTCACTTTAGAGATTCTTATTTCATTAAGAGTAGTTAACATTATTAATTTTAATATCAAACACTTTCATATACATGTTCTCATTTTATTGTTACAATATTCTTGTGAAATAAATAGTATTGTCCCCATCTCACAAATGAAATTCAGCATAGATGTGACTTTCCAGGGTGACATCGCCAGGACTAAGCATTGAAAGCTGAAAAATCGAAAAATCGAGCATGTTAATTTTATTTTTAAAAGGCACACTCTGGGTGGATCTTTGATGATCAACATTCTTTAAAAACATCCTGTTGTTTAACATTATGTCATGTAACAGTTGTTTTTGTAGGAGAGAGTAGGTTTGATTTTGTTCTGTTTCCTTAACTAGTTAAATGTCTGGATGGATTGTTTTTAGTTCCTGATATTGTACACATCTTTGTTCTTTAACTCCTTTATAGCAAGTATTTATAAAATTCATTACTGGCTTAAAAAGAACCATGTTGAGGAAAAACTGCCTGCTTTTCATTTCAGTCCAGCCCTTCTTTATTTAATTGTGGAATAGACATGTTTTTGCAGAGTTACATGGTTATAAAATAATCTTATAGAAACCACTTTTTATTTTCAAGTTAGGATCCATTTTATTTTCTAAGCCTGTAGTACCTCACCCAGAGCTATATGTCTAGCGAGTGTCTAATATTTGTGGACAGATCATGTGATTTTCTGATTGACTTTTACAAAACTCTGGAAATGGGGGTTTGGCTGGACCATTGGAGGCCATTGTCTTCTGAACAGAGGCTTAAAGGCCAGATCCTCACCTGTCTCTTGCTTGCCCCAGGCACCTCCAACACACTGGCCCCTGACAAGATAGTGGGGTGGGGATGAGGCAGCCGCAGCTTTAGGATAACCACTGGTAGGTTTCCTGATCCTGGGAGAATAGACAATAAAGTGAGAATTGAAAGGTGGGACTGAGGTCTGGCTCCCTGCTGAGCCATCCAGCCTGCAGAGGCCAGTGGAGGGACTCGTCCAGGAGTGCCCCCAAACAGGCTTTTAAAATTGCCATTTTGAGAGTTGCACAGCTCAGGACTGCCTGGTGGTCTGTCTACAGGAGCAGCACTGAGGTACCAAATTAACTCGGCCCCGAAGTTCAAAAGCTCCGGTGTCTCACATTATGGACCTCTACAGCAGGGGTCTCCAATCCCTGGGCTGGGGACCTGTACCAGCCCTTGGCCTGTTAGGACCTGGGCCGCACATCAGGAGGTGAGCGGCAGGCCAGCAAGAGAAGCTTCCTCTGTATCTGCAGCCGCTCCTCAGCTCTGCCTCAGATCCTCAGGCATTAGATTCTCATAGGAACACTGGTTCCTGGTGCCACAAAGGTTGGGGACCACTATCCTACAGCATCAGAGCCCCAGCAGAGGGAACTCCAAACCACACTATTGTCTGTCTCCCTCCTCCCCTTGGTTCTTGGGGTGTCCCTCAGAAAGGTTTCTCTGCAGCAGAAAGAGGGGTGCTGTGGCACTGAGTGGGCCTCAGGGGTCAGGGGTCTGGGTTTGAATCTCTGTGCTGCCTCCACACAGCTGTGTGACCGCAGGTCACCCTCCCCATGCCGTGTGCCCATTTTTTCTTCCACGTGTACCTGGGGATAAAAGGTTACTCTCTGTGGTTTCTGTGACCATTCAATGGCCCAACACATGAGCAGCGGTCAGAATGGTGCCTGGATCGCAGTCAGCTCTTTATTGTTGTTTGCTGTTTTTGAGAATATAATGTATGACTGTGTTTATTTTTTCCCATCCCCTTCGTCATATTCCCAAGACCACCTCCTCCTCCAAGTTTTTCTCA